AATGTACTTGACAAAGAGGCATTCTCCATTTTTGAGTTACCAAAGTACAAAATGTATCCAAGTTGATAATCCCTAAATCTGGGAATATCCACCTAAAACCTCAGCTATCCAATTTCTTTGGTGATAGAGTATGAAAAAGAGAGAATCTGAAATTTCTTCTCCTATTCAAGACTACCAGGAGTCACAGTATAAAACATAACTACTAAAGGAGAAGTTGGCCAAACCAGAAATTTTATAGACGTGTTTGATAAAAATTATTAACCTAAGACAAGGTCAGGATAGTTTTAGACCAACAATAAAAGATCACTGCAATGACAAGCAGCATCTAAACTTTATTTTGGGACCTCTACTTCCCAAATAAGTGTCAGTACAAGAGAATTTATGGAACAAGCTTTTCATCGGAGCAGTGCAATTCATCACTTCCATTTTAGCATCTGTGTTGAAATCTTCCATTTTTTCTTTGTAATATAATTAACTTGATAAGCACATAAACTACAAGGTTGACCTTATACACTTTGAAGTCAATAAGAGTTTTCTTTCTATCTTCTGTGGAGCAGGACCAGATACAGGATAAGCTAATCCAGTGGAGTGCTCTTACATGCCAAGGCCTAATGCAAAATACAAATCAGAAAGTCAATCTTCATGATTGCACAGCTTTTAGACTTTACCACAGACACAATTACCCCATTTTTTTCACTTCTTAATGAACATCATCACCATTCTTTAGATGTGCTGTAAGATTCAGAAATGATTCTCTTTTGGAAAACTGTAAAATAAAATGAACTTTAAATCGGTGCAATTTTGCAGTTTTTGGAAAACAATATCCCTTTGCATATCACTTTCAGTGATTTGAAACCAGGGTTACAATTTCCATTGAAAAACCTTACTGGTTCTTGCAGAAATAACTGTACAACAGTTTCAAGACAGATAGTTAAATACATATTTATTGGTCTGGTTTTTTCAAAATAGTTTGACCCGTACTGCCCTGCACTAAACAGAAAATGTTTTTAGTTTAGATTTGCCCTTTTTTTTAATTCAAATTTAAAGGAGAAAAATGGCCAGATCTTGGAAATATTTAATGTTCTGCCTTAATGTTTCATACTGAAAAAATGTTTACATTTGGGTCTCATGGGTTCATTTGCTGAAGTTAAATGGATGGTACTTCTCAAAATAATTTTTATTTTAATTTTTCCTTAGAGAAGGAAATACGTAGAAATATTTTCTAAGCCATTCGTCAGCAAGTTCCAGATTAAATTATAGAAATTGACACCTGTTAATTTGGCCAGGGATTTGGAATTTAAAGGCTAACAGAGTGATTTCCCAGGCTTCAAAAGAAATCTTTTCACTTACATAGCTGTTTACAGTTTTATTAGTGGTGAAGTTCATACTGTTAATCTGATAATATCTGCAGCGGTGTGTTAACCAAGAAAAAGGTGTTACAAATGGATACATGCTGAGTCATGTTTAGCCCCAGAAATGCCATCAACCTTAGCACAGTTTGTATTTTGTAATTTACCTCATCCAACTACAACTTCCTAACATATTCTTGAATGGCTCAGAATCCTGGTCTGGATCCCCTGAGAGGCTGCATTATTTTCTGTCCTAAATATACAGTTTTGTGAAATATATCATTGGTTAGTACCCAAAAGTACCCTGGGTTCCATACAAGTGCACTGTAGGTTTTTCTTTATTTCCATGGTCATTACATTCTTTCTGGTAGCATCAGATATGAGCCTGAAATTGACTCTAATGTCTCTGCCAATCTTACCTCACTTTAGCAGGCCAGTTCTGCTCCCAATTAGACTGACTTTACAAACATCCATAGTGATGATGGTTGCAACTGAGAAGGTTATCAGGCATTTACTGCTGTTCAGTGCAGTCCATACCTTCTTCAGAGTAGCTAATTGTTTAGCTAATTGCGCTTTAAAGCAAAAGCTGACATAATCACACGCCACTGGTTTCTGATCAGGATAGCTTCAGCATTTTATATTGACTAGAATACACCTCTAGTGACAAATTGGAAATATCAATGCTTTATTATTCTAGGTCACTCGGGGAGTATATATTCATACACTGAATATGTAAATCTCATAACTGAATAACACTCCATGCAATGTATTTAAGAGGCGTTTCTTAAACTGTCACCAATACTTACTCAGCAGGATGTGGCAACTTCTGTTCATGCTTTGGGTTCCTCTCTCTTCACGATATGAAGTTTCAGAGGCAGTTTAAATGTTTTATGATTATCTGTGTAGCAAAAAAAGTGCCTGTTCTGGTCACCTAATGTAAGAAAGGGGAGGAAGAGCCAACAAAATGCAAATTTGACAGTAGGGTGGTCTGTCAATTTTTGCTAGGGAAGAGGTTCTCCAGCCTCTCCAGTGGAGGTGTCCTCAGTGAAGGATGTGGATCAGGTGCTTTCCCTACCAGCGCTAGGTCAAGGACCTCTTGGAATTACAAATAGTTCATGACTGGAAGGTAGAGAATGGAAAGGAAAATAGGGCAATGGAAATTAGAATTGCATGAATAATGGAGTTTCTTTTTGGTGACCCAACTGAATAATTAAACCAAGAAAATTCATTTTGGGTCAGCCCAAAGCACTTGTTCAACTCAAAATGAAACAGCTCATTTTGCTTTCAAATCTCTTTTCAACCTTTGAAAGAAATGCACATAAAATTCTAAACCAAAACACTATTTATTTAGAAAAATGTCAAAACGAAACATTTTAGCATGATTTTCCTTTTTTGAGCTGTAACTATTAACTGAATTGAAACCCAGCTTTCCTGAAACTGTATTTTTATTTCCTTTTAATCAGTATTTTTTTGTCCCAGATATTTCCCCCTGTTGTAAGGGAAACTTCCTCCTACTTCTACTTCCTTCATCTGTTCAAAACTGACCATCACCACCAGCCTTTACACATCCACAAGTCACACGTACCCTGCAAGAAAATCTATGAAGGAAATTCTGCAAAATTTGCTCTGTGGCATTTCCAGGGCACCAGCTCATGAGGTTTCCATGGTAGAGTCTTCCAGCTGGTGGTTTTTAGGGTTAGAGAAGTTAATTATTAGTTTACTTCATTTTTACACTTTTGTAGACAAATGGGTTTTCATTTGGGTTTAGCCCAAATGAAGCATTGAAAAACTTGAGAGATTGATTTGGAATTTTTGGGTAGGGCAGCTCAACAAGGAAAATGTAGAAGAGGCCTGGAGGAAGTAGAACAGGGAAATAAGTTATTTATCCATCTGTGAAGCAATTATATCATGGAGGAACAGCCCGTGTGTGGCTCATGATCTAGTCTCTATTTATAATTAAGGAAGAAAACAGGTACTTTTAGGGCAAAGTCATGTTATGCTGTCAAAAATCACAACCTTCATAAGCCTCTAATGTAGACCAGAGGAATGACACCTGAATAATTCCTCTTACCTTCCACTGACTATAAAGAGAGACAGGCATAGTTTGGGGAAAGACAGTGTATTTCAAAGGTCAGTGAAGTGAACTGCTCATTTGATGTCTAAATTCCCTCGCTTTGCTGTCAGCTGACACAAGCTTGAGTGATAAGAGAAAGGATGTTGGCCAATAGCTCTTGATAACATCACTGCATATTCCACAAGAAAGGAAATATGTATTCCACTGAATACAGCAAAAGGTTAAACCCCTGACACTGTCATGTGGTACCAAATCTTGGCTGGTTGTCTCTGTTGGGTCACTTCTGCCTTGACTGTGAACAGGCACGTAAATCATACATTGTGAGATGCAAATGAAAGTGTATGGAGAAAAGTAAACCACGTTGAATGCATCTAATTTGACAGGCATCCATCACTCAAATGGATCATATGCCAGTCTAATATGTGATTTCCTACAAGAAAGTGTTACGATTTCAGTTCACATAAACCTTGTTCAAAATAGGTATGGATGGATGCTTTTAGATGCATCTTTAAATTGCCCTGGCTCAGGAGGAGCAATTTTTAAATGTGGACAGAATATCTGTTGCCCTGATGAATAAATGGTAAGGTCTTGCTCAAGAATACTTCAGCAGTTGCTGAAAATCTGCTATTACATATCTCCTCTGGTTTTCTGACTATTTGGATGCTTTTCAAACCTTTAACCTTGGTCCAGTCACCAATTTCTCCAGTTGCACTAGAGCAACTCTTCTGTCTTTGCCCAGGAGACATTGCTGAAGGACATGATAATGACAGATTAAACTGCTCTTCAGTGACTTGGGCTGTTTTCTGTCTTGGAGCTTGTGTCAAGAGTAGGTACCAAACATTCTCTTCTGAAGGACTTTCAAATCCCTAACGCTGTAGAACAGCATTTGTGCTCAGCGTGCCTATGGATAGATCAGTGAGAATGCAGCATACTAGAGTTTTCACTAGCAACTGCTTCCTGACTGTCTCCATTTCATCTGACCCAGAGGGACAGTTTGGGGCCTTTCACCAGCAGCTATTCAAGATGGGATCTTTTCTCTGGGCATTCTGAGGCAGAACAATGAACCAAACCAATGACTCTCAGGAGTGATGTTGTTTTTCCCACTGCCCCCTACAAGAAAGGCTGATTGACATGCTCCTCACTAAGCCTGGCCTGTGATAAGTTGAAGTTGCAGCCTTATGGAAAAGAAGCATGTCCCCAAACTGAGGTTGGATGCTTTGTAGATACAAAAGTACAGCCATTAGTCCAGCAACACCACAGGCGTAATGTGTATCATATCCCTTGTGTCTCAAGAAAAGATAAAAGCTCTGCAAATGGTAATGTTTGAAGACTAAAATATTTATTATAATAAATTAAAGTGCAAGCATTTATAAAATATTCAATTTGCATATAAATATCACACAGCAGTGTTACTTTCATAGTTCACTTAAAACCTTCTGGTACAGTTTCATAAATATATTTCCTTGAATATTTTTCAACTAATCTATATAAATAAAAGTATTGTATAATTATTACTTTAAAATAAGTTACCATTAAATACAAACGACAAAAAATATTTCTGAATTAGTCTGAAATACCAGCTTTTCAGGCAAAGGTCAGAAGAGGACAACATATTCAAGATAGACTTCCAGGTAAGAGGCTCAAAACTTCCTGGCTACCTTTAACTGCCTACCTTGATCAAAGCTGATCCATAGGTGTCAAATTTCAACACATAAAAGACAGAAACAGTTGCCTTATTCCTACGGAGATGGGGAGGACAGGAGTGTGCCTTTGAAAATAACTAATGGCCTGTGTTTAAATGGAGCTGCAGTGTCCTGGAGTTTTCATTTTCAAAGAAGGCAGCAGTAATCATCCTGTCTCTGCCCACTTAGTTTGCTAGTTTTGACACAAGTGAAAAACATATTGCATCTGGGGGGAATGGGTGTAGTTGCTGTAACAGCTAATCAGTTTGAGTTATCACAAGAGATTTTCAGAGACATCTCTTCAAGGCTGATCTGAAATTTTCTCAGTTTTTCTCCTTGTTCCCTCCCTTCTTTGTGATACCAGTGCAGGCATTTTCCATGTAGTCAAACAGTAAATCCAATTCTCCAACGGCTTTAGTCTTTCCATTTTCTCCCAACTAGAAAAGAGCAGAATGCAAGTCTTAGCAACTCATTATTTCTCAGAAAATTGAAATTAGGATTGTCACAGAAACTGAACCAAGAACTTAACTTTCCTAATTCTCTCACATAGTTCTGTTAGTCATTATGCCATAAGATAAAAACTAGCTTGTTCAAATCTAGACTAGCATATACAGTTCCTGCAACATAACTTTTTAAGGTTTAAATTACCATAACATGCGCAGAGTTAACAGGACAAGTGAAGGAGGGTTGGAAGGGGAAATGTTAATAATCCCCTCCTTAATACCCCTGCAAGCTTCACCTCCTAAATAATCTCCAGAGTTTGTTTCATAGTTAGGTCAGACTCAATCCAACTAAATGATTGGGGTTTGAAACTGCTCTTTTTAAATGTTTGGGAAAAAACGTACCTGTTCCATTTTGTTCTTCATTTGTTCCAGGTTCTTTTCAATGTGCTCTCTGTTTCCTGAGAATTTCTAAAAAAAGGAAACATCCAGACATAAGATTGACAGCTGTACGCAACAACGTGCTTGTTGTTTTTTTTTCTTTTTCACACCTTTCTATCAACTCTGAGTTTCATATCTTTGATCTGAGGTTTCCTTTCGTATCACTGCCTTTTGCCACTGTTTGTAACATTCTGAGATTCAGGAGCAGCAACAAGAGTCAACACTAGCAGGGAAAGAAACTCAATGTTACTCACACATCTGCTCAGCTCCGAGGTCAGGGATGCCAAGAACTGTGCAACCTCCTCAACATATGGGTACTGATTCTTGACCTCAGTGAGGAGAACATCTTTTACCACAATCTCCACAACCCTCTTCATCAGGTAGCAGCGGTTGTTTTCCTATGTGTGAAAGCAAAAGATCATGTTAAATCAAAGCAAGAGATCAATGACTGCTGCAGAGATATGTAAAAAGCAGACTCCTTGAGTAAGGCTTACCTTGATGTTAACATAGAGCTGCTGCCCAATCAATCTGTTATCTGTGTCCTTGTCCGAGGCACTGGCCTGAGAGTAAAAAAAGGAAACATCAGGTGGGGATGGGAACCTTGCCTAAAATTGAATAATAAACCCTAAGGTCTTCATCAGTAATGAAAGTGCAGGTGAAATGAGGGAACGGATGCCACAGACAGTCTGTTACAGGTAGATAAACCTGGATATTGTGTCTGTTTCTCCCTTCAATTGGATGAGATTTAAGGTCAGTATCACTGGAAAATAAATAAGCAAAAGTCTGAATTCATGTCCCCCTCTTAAACATCCGATGTTATAGTGGTTACGATGACTAAACCAGAGACTGCAGGTGGCCGACCTCACGGTGGCCCACAGTGCTGCTGGGAGGTGCTGCAGCCCTTGATGGTGTACACTGCGGGAGACCCACCCATGGCAAGAGCAGCCAAGAAACCCATCCAAGCAGAGCACTGTAAGATGCCTGAGCATCTGCCTGGTTGTGACTGGAGTCATGGACAGGTCCAGCTCCAAATGGACTGGGCAAATTGAGAAATTTAATCTCATGTTTCACAGTTGTCCCATTTTAGCACCAGCTGCTTGAAGAGAAGGAGCCGTGCTGTTCCAGGGGCTTCCTTTCCCTTGCGGAGCAGGAGTAGGAGGAGGAGAGGCAACAGCTTCCCCTGCCTACACAACCAGCAAGCAAAAGACCCCACTCCACACACCCAAGCTCTACCTTAACTGGAAATGCACATTTTTCCTCTGGAGAAAGGCATGGTAATGAGAGAGCAATGCCAAAGGCTAGAAGCCGGGACAGAGGAGTAAGTCCTCAGATCCCACTATGAAGAATATGTGGGTTACTGTACCATTTTAGCCAAGGTGTAGGTGCGATTCCTAATGTAGGGCTGCTGGAAGTTGATCTTCCTGAGCCTGCAGGCATGATGGGAAGTAGAAGCCCCTTTCAGAGGCAGAGAGCTGGTGAGAAGAAGAGGGAGACAGCAACAGCAACAGAAGAAAACCCATCCTGGGAAGCTCTTGGACAAGGTCTGCAGGTAGGCCATGGCTCACCGTCCGATATAGTCCGTTCCAGCAGGTTGCAGCTACAGCACTCAGCACTGATGAGAGAGAGCAGCGTTAGCATCAGGGAGAGTGGGCAAGGCAAAGTGAGAGCAGTACAAAGGCTGCAAGCCTTACCTTTGCTGTGATTCTTGATGCACTCTGCAGGAGGTGACTGCACCTTATATAGGGCCAGCAACATCTCTCTCAGTTTTTTTTTCTTTTTTGGCTACTGGTGGTGAAATAAAAATGACATCAGCAAGTCTCTTACTTTCCACTATCCTCTTCTGAGAACTACCTAACCACCTCAAAACCCACAAATACAACTTCAAAGGGCATCATAATCCTTAGTTTCCTATAAAACAAACCAAATATTAACGTGGGGCAAAGCAGGGGCTTTTACCAGGGTAGGAATCCTGAATTCTTTTTGCATAAAAATATTTGAGAGCTTTATGAGTTTGTGCCTCCTGTCCCAATTGTAATGCACTTATTTGATTGACAATTTGATAGCGGGTAATGTAACTTATCTAAACTTTCGTTTATCTTCTGTGGTAAAAGACTGGTGTTTCTCTGCTGCTGACTGGTGTACACAAGTGGTCAGAGACTGCAAAAGACCCAAAGCACTGACCACCTATGGTTCCTACCCTGCAAATACCCTTTCCCACACAGTGGCCCACTGGGTCACTAGCCATCTGCCCATAACTGTGAAATCCTCTCTGAGAGATCAGAAACCGTGTAGGACCAGCACTGCATTTTTCACATCCTTGATTTCCAAATTCCCGTTTTTTTCAAAAATTATCCATATTCCAGGCTGTAATCATGTGCAGTGACAGAACTGGGGTCATGTCCTTTCTTATCCAGGTGATTTCCATATTCCTAAGCCTCTTCTGGTAACATTAAGGTAGTTCTGCACCTTCAGTCTGAAATATTATGCACAGTGTTAAAGAGAAACAGTGTTCTTTTTAGAGACTAAGTTGCAACCCAGCTGTAGACAGCAGTGCATGAGAACACAGAACTGGTACAAATGCCAGCTCCTGGTTGTATAATACCCACAAGGCACACAGGTGACAAAGAGGAGAAATCAGACCTGGAAAACCAACGCTTCAGCTCTGCCTCTGAGAGTGAACGTCTGAGAACTCTGAGAGTGGGCATCCCTGTGGCTGGGCTCGAAACTTTGTGGCTGAGGTTCTCAGGAAAAAAGCCATAATCGACCTTACCCCACGGTCTGAAATGCCCAGCTCTTTTCCTTAGGAAGCACTTAAAGGCTAGGTGGCACCAGATTTATTCTTTAGCCTCCCCTGATACATCTGCAGCAGAAATTCATCTTTCCAGGCCTCAGTCCTGCCTCAGTTTCCCTCAGAAACCTGCCACATCAGCTCTGCACAGATCTGTGCCCTTGAAACTGCACCCTCACACTCTGGAGCCACCATCACCCCCTCCCTTTCTGTGCCCCTCTCAGGTTCCCATTCCCATGACCAACCTCCAACAGCATCCTGACTGCAGTAGGCAGCAGAAAGCAAGTCTGGACCCAGGATGTCAACAGTCTCGTTCACACCCAAATGTACCACAAAGCTATTCAAGAACATATTTCTAAACTCTTTTCCACATATGTTTCATTTGGAGGCTAATACTCCTAGTGGTGGTGCAGGCTAATGAGAAGATGAAATGCTGAGTTATACTTTATTTAGCCAAAAGACAAACATTAAAGACCAAATTGTGAGAAATCCTGACAGGTTGTTTCGAAGGATTGGCCTCCTCTGAAGCGCATTTCCACAAACTCCTCTCCAGGTTTTAAATACAGCCTGATAACCAAAGTCTGTTTCTAACTAAGGTTTCTCACACTTCTCCATCAGCTCATCCATCACAACTGAAGTGCCATACCCAGAACAAAATCCATGAACAGGCATTCAAACCCTCCCTGGTTCAGATTCCGTGTCCTCATCTTTCTGGCACATGCCACCTCTCCATCCCTTTGGCCACTTACTCTTGTCAGACACAGATCTAGTTTGCCTGATGTCTTCTTGTGGCTCTAACCCCATGGAAAGGGTGCATGACCTAGGTAAGTAGGTTCTGTACCACTCATCTCTTCAAACCACTGTGAGGAGCCCTGCTGGTCCCAAGCTTCCCACGCATCCTGATGGACATATAAACAATATCAGGCAGATGAATGAGGAATTAGACATTGAATCTTTCTTCTGCCCTTTTTTATGCAGTCAATGCAGGATGTCTTTTGTCTGTCTTCTCTATTATTTGAAACCATACACTATGACACACCTATTTTCATAGAAAATCTTGTTAGCATTGGTAAAGCTCTCTTTCTCCCATCTGTATTGTTAGCCATCTCTCTGTCACGCTACTTTTTCATTGTGCCATGATGTCTTCCTTCTGACACTTTGGAAAAGCTTTGTTTCAGTTGTTTAGTTTACCTTGCTACTTTTGTTATCACCTTTATTTTCCACACACTGAGATGTTGAAGTGCATATTGTCAGTCCATTAATTCGTGTTCTGCATGAATTTTTTTTTTATTACATTTCTAAAGCCTTTGCAATATTTAACTTTCTGTTAGCGGATGGGAGTTATAACTCTCTTTCATCCCTCTAGTTTACTGTGAGTATGGTCCAATGCAAAAACAAACAGTCAACACCTTACTGGACACTAATTTTAGCATGCTCATCAGTTCATTCCTGGCCTCTTCTCAACCATCTTCTACCAAATGACTGTTGGTCCTGGATGTACCATAGAATTATGGTATAGCTGCAGTCATGGCTGCTGTTATTTCCTGTTACATGTCAAAAGAATTTCTTTGGAAGTGTGGATATACCTCCCATTCCCAGGGTCTTCTGTTATGAGATTGCATTGAACAAAAATGTGACTTGTCATGGCTATCACCTCTTTTGACTAGCTCACCACACCCTGCATGGGAGATATGAATCCAGCATTACATCCTATGTAAAGATGGAGCTAAAAACCTACACTACTACTGGATCGTACTCCAGTCCTCAGAATTCCTAAGAAAGAGGAAAGAATATAAAGATTTTCTGCTAACATTTGAGGAATAATTTCTTTTTCTTCTTGTTTGAGAAGGAAGTACAATCAACTTCTGAAAAATAAGGTCTAAGTGCTAAGCCAGTACTGAAGGTGAACTTCAGGGAAATTGCTTCCTGAACAGGCTACTCTGAACTGTAGAGCTGGCAGGAGAGAGACCAGTGGAAGGAAATCTGCCTTTAATTTAAAATGTGCTACTCTGGCTGAAACCATCACTGGTGGGTCTTACTCTGGGGATAAAGAATATACCGGACAAAACATATCTTAAGAACAACGGGGAAGTAATTTCCCATTCTAATTTTATGATTTTTTTTTCTAGGTTTAATGATATTTTTAATGTTTAAGGCTAGTAACACTGTTTAAAGTACAAAATTCCTACAAGGAAACATACCTGTTATGCTTTCATTTTAATTAAAAACTACCAAAGACCTCCCATCTTCTATAAAATACCCTCTTGCATTGGTTTTTTAAGCATATTTAATAAAAAAATAATTTTGAAAATGTTCACAGGTCATTTTTTCTCCCTGGTACTGTTCCAAGAGTTAAACCTCCTGTCAGTAAACTCACCTATAAACATTTAAAGTTTGTTTCCCAAATTCATTAAGAAACTATAGTGGTAAAATATTCTCGACAATGACTTCTTGACCCACATTGAAAACAGGATTTTTTGAGGATGACTGGAACTCTACATCACATCTGCCTCAAAAGCCACAGACATTTCCTTCTGACTTCGAATGAGGCCACAGGTGAATAACCAACACTGTACTTGGATGTTCAGCTGTTGAGTATCAGCAGCAGCACACTGGCACGCAGGAATTTCCTTCAGCTTTAGTACACTTTGAATCAGCCAGGATTATATTGCATTATTCGAAAAGTCAGAATTGGCCACTGGGCTAGAAACACTATCAAGAGTAGGCATGTGGAAGAGTGAGCCTGTATATCATCTTGTTGGATCTTCTATTTGGTGATGCAATTCTCCCCCCTTAAACATTTGTGTGAATGGACCACAGGTCACTTAACACCTAAAACTGAACATGCAATCTCAAGTTTCAGGTCACACTCATACCCTTCTTTTGTTCCACCTCATTTGTGAGCTTGTTGGCTGCATTTTATTTTAGTTCTCCTCAGCTTTTGCCCAGACTTTCAAGTTTGCAAAGATTAAAGTCAACTATAAAAACGTTTCAGCTCAAGCTCCAGTACAGTCTTATTTTAGTCAGCTCCCTGCCCAGCAATGAAAACATCAGTAATGGAACTTGATTCTTCCTTATAAAACTTGAAAATAAGCTTTTCCATAATCCAGCTATTAATTATGGAAATGTCCGAGTACACAGACAAGTGTCTTCTGTGTATGATCACTAGGAATGGTAGAAGGAATTCAATTTCTGTAGAGAAAATTATATCAACACAGAAACTGGGAGAGGACATGTAGCATTTCATCATTATATTTTTGTTTGTTTTTTTCTTTTTTTCATACTAGGTTTAATGTTGTCTAAGAAATTGTGAACCTTTTGGAAGAAGGAGGAATAGTACTAAAATTGCTTAGCCTGGGAATATTAGGTGACCAGAAAAGACTCTGGTGTCAGCTCTCAGTAGAAGCACTGCTGACTCAGGACTTTGGAGAGGATGTACAACTTCCTACCTCCCCTGATTTTTGTAACACAGAGTAATACGTTTCCTCTGACAGTAACAGTTCAGCTTACATATTTGATATTTCATCAAAGATCTTTGTCTCTGACCTTCACTTGGTTTTATTATATAATTTTTAGGTCTTCTAAGTATAAAATACTATATAGAAAATATCATAAAACTGGTATTTCATACCATAAAACATCCTAGAGGAAAGGAACTAATAGTTCATTGTGGCTTCAATTTTAAGTTACATTCTGAGACAAAAAACCCCCACCCCCCCCCCCCCCCCCCCAAAAAAAAACAAAACTACCAAACAAAACCTCCTTGGTTTAAATAATTTTATTTTCACCTCAGAAACATTCATGTAGTGGAGATCCAAGAGAAAATCATCCAGAGACAACACTACTAATGTGTTGATACAACATTATTACCAGAACCACTGATGTCATAATTTCTATTACAGTACCAGAAGGATTCAGTGATTAATATGAAAACAAGAACCCAAAGAACAGTGTCAAATGAAGTACAATAGATGTTAGTCCAGTGGTCTTGCC